GATTTCTTATCTTTTAATAAATTTAAAAATTATTTTTTAATATTATAATTTTATTAATTTGTATTCAATAAGTATAAGCTGTTTTCAAAAACTTTAAAAAATGTAACTCTTTAATGTATTAAAATATATTTTAATATATGATATGATAAAACACAACTAAATTTATGTTTTTATTAATTTAATTTACTTATAATATTTAAAAGTAAAATTTTCTAAAATAATTAAATAATTTAAAAGTGAAATTGTCTAATAAGAAATATAATTTAATCTATTATTTTATATCTATTAATTTAATTGATTAAGCTCACGATTATAATATTATTGCTTTTAAATAGAAGATATAAATTATTTAAGATATTTTTTAATGAAAGAGTAATGGAAGTTTTACATTGATAGAATAATGAAGATAACTTAAATATATTAATAGCTTAAATATATTTGTTTTGATAGCATACATTCTATTAAAAAATATAATAAAATTGTATATTAACATTTAATGTCTAAAAATAAGTTTTATTTCTTGCTCAAAGTTTAAAGAAATTTTTGGTTTAATCAAATATAAATTTTAAAATTTTTAAATTTGTGAGACCATATAATATGGAATTCTAGTTTACATGCATACCATATGATGTTTTACATATGTTACTTCAATCCGATACACATAAAAATATTCTTTTGCATACCCGCGCGCGCGCATATATGACGAATCTTTTATATGCAATACATTTAATCTAAAAAGATTAGTGTTTACGCCGTTGTGTATCGAATTTTGGCTCATTTCCAAATGGACCATAATATGTTTTACCACAATATGTTTTCACGAAAATACAAAATACATGGCGCGTACAAGAATTTTTATCAACGAACACACAGAAAAGCATCGTTCACGTTAGTCAATTTTAGATATAAAAACCGTTCTGAGAAAATTGATTTTTACAATGACAGGTCTGTTTTTCGTTATTTTTCTTAGTAATAGATTAATAATTAAATTTTAGGATGAATAATGTGTGGAATAAATGACATTTGATTTATATAAACCGCCCATGCAATCCTTATTAGCGAATAGAAACAGATTCCAGAGATTCACGGTTCGGTTCGCTAAAAGCGAAACTTGGCTCGAAGCGCGACGAGAAACTAATCTGAAAATCACGTGTATTTACATCACGCAACTAGTTGATTCATGAGGCATCGCCAGAAAATCACAGTGAACAAGATGCAAATGTTAGATTTTCAAGTTTACGATCGGCAAGCGAGTACAATGTCAGGAGCATACTTTGTCTTGTTTCCATTACGAGAAACAATCGTGCATTATTGTTAACATAATTTGTGAGAATTCTTTGTGAAAACAGAATTCAATTTGTAGTATGAATAGCAACGTAAATATAGATTACCAGAATTAGCATTGCATAACGTATTATTTTTAACGTTTAGATATGTATGTGTTGAAGTTCGTCATTCAGTTTTTCAAAGTATTCACTTAAATTCATTATGTGTTTTTCCAGCAATAAATGAAAATACATAGCGGCCACAATATAGTTTTAACCCATTAATTGTTAAGAAATAAACGTTTTGTTACTAAAAATAATTTTTATGCAAAAAAAAAAAACAAATTTATGTAAAGATTGTGTCAAGAATATAATTTGTTGAGACGCTGAATTTAAGTATGATAAAAAATTGGAATTGCAAATCATGAATTCAATGAAGTAACTAGAAATTTGAACAATTTTATATAAAACTTTTTCAAAAAGTTTTAAGATGTTTCAATTTATAAAATTTAAGATGTAAATTTTATATTCCAGAAAAAAAATTAAAATGAGGTAAAATATAATTAAATTAAGAAAATAATTCTTGAAATTTAAATATATTTAAAATTAAATTTTACAATAAATTTTATTCTGTGTTTTATAAAAATAATATACAGTAGACACTCGATTTTACGAATTAATAGGAGAATAATGATCCAAAAATTCCGATTGTCTGGATTTTCTAAAGTTTATTATAATTGGTGAAGCGATCTTGTTACCGTGTTACGTTAATTGATAATGTGCTGGGCTGGAAACCATTGCAAAAAGGGCTAATGCAACAGTACTATTGGAGTGTGCTGGTCCCCTTAATCGATATACATCGCCTATTAGTTACCTCACGGTTTTACTACAGGTCATGCAAATTTTAAATGTTCTTAAAGTTCTCAAATTTTGTCCAGATTTTCGAAAATACAATAAATTAAAGTCCGTAAAATTGAGAGTCTACTGTACTCTTAAATTTCAAAATTTTGATGTCAGATTTAAATTTAGCGATTAAAAATCTATAGATTCTATGTTTTGTGGAAATCTCATAAGTGGAAAATATTTCCTTCTTAAGTATATATGCGTCATCGACGCTCAAGAAATTAAAGAGCATCGGAATGCTCTGCATTAGTTGAATCTTTATTTATCAAAATAATTATGAAATTTTATGAGTTAAATTTAAAAATCTTATACAGTAAACTGGAACGTTGTTTGTAAGGAATTCTGATGTTTTGCAGGTCCTGGGTAAAGGCAGTTTTGGCAAAGTTCTACTGGCGGAATTACGCGGCACAGAATGCGTATACGCGGTGAAATGTCTGAAAAAAGATGTTGTTCTCGAGGATGACGATGTCGAGTGCACGTTGATCGAGAGGAAAGTCCTCACACTGGCGACGAGACATCCGTATCTTTGCCATCTGTTCTGCACCTTCCAAACCGACTCGCATCTCTTTTTTGTTATGGAATATCTCAATGGAGGCGATCTAATGTTCCACATACAGAAATCCGGTCGATTTCCCGAAACACGTGCGCGTTTTTACGCTGCTGAGATCTGGTCCGGATTGAATTTTCTGCACAAAAAAGGCATTGTATACCGTGATCTGAAATTGGACAACGTGCTACTCGACTTCGAGGGTCACATTCGAATCGCAGATTTTGGCATGTGCAAACTACAAATCTTCCTAGATAGAACAGCTGACACGTTTTGCGGCACGCCAGATTATATGGCACCGGAGTATATTGTCATTGATTTAAAATTTATTTTAATTTTTTGTTTTGCACTTTTTTGTACCATAATAAATAAGATTATTTTAATTGGACTGGATCACAAAATTTTTCTCTTTTTTCTAAAAAAAGAAAAAGCTGTCCATAATGTTGTGTACATCGAATTTGAATTTGGTATGCATATCACATTAGGATTAAAAAAAAATTAAAGAAAAATATACCAAAAATAACACAAACACAAATTTCAACAATATTTACATTATACTATTTTTAGTTATACGCTATATCTAAAAAAATTTTTTTTTATAATTATATTACATTATTTTTAAATATTATAATTTTTTATAAAACAAATAAAATAAAAAAAATAAAATAAAACAAAAAATAAAATTTTAAAAATTATAAAAAGAAAATGTTTGATATAGACTACGTGTGATACACTCTGAATAACATATTGAGTGGAATTATTGTCATTTATACGGTTACATGGTCTACTTTACAATTAGTAAGTTTACGATAAATACGATTTGTAAATTTTACATAATAAAAGCAGAAAATAATAAAACAAAAAAGCTGTCGATATAAAAATATACACAGATATAACTTTTACATTGCTTTAATATAATAGAATGTAACACACAATATAATACATATATACGTTGTACATAACGTAATTGTATGTAATAGGTTAGTTGTAATTTTCTCACGTGATATTGCAGTTATATCACATAAATATAACGCAGTATTAAAATGTAATATAATTTTTATATAACTGTTACTTGATTAGTTATCGTATAATTACATTTTTATTAGGTTTAAATTACTATCTTGTAATAAATGCAAATCCCAAGAACAGTTCTGTGAATTAATTCTAAACAAAACTGAATAAAATCTTTCTATAAATACATATTTTGTTTAGAATTTCACTTAGAATTAATTCAAAGACCTGATATTTCTGAGAGTTGCATTTATTACAAAATGGAAAGATATAAACAGTTAAAATATGTGGTAATAATAAAATTATATCATAATTTAAAAAAATATTTTATTACTTTAATATTTTATTAATACTTTTTTACGGAGTTGCAGATCTTTTGTCAAATACTGCGTATTTTTTAAGCAAAAACCGCTAATTCCAATCAATAAATTAACACATCCCAAAATAAATAAATAAGATCAAACTTTGAAAATCAGGAACAAAAGAGCCAAGGCAACATGTACGTGCAAAACATATATTATAAGAAAAATATAAACATAAATGTTTCTGCTTTTATTAGACCTTCTTCAGTGTCATGACAATTAGAAATTGTACATAAATCTAAAATTATGAGTTGCACGCATTTTGTAATATACATATAATTATTAGCATATTCAAATTAAATTAAAATTTTTACTATTATTTGAAATTACTATTAACATGTCAATCACAACGTTATAAATTTTATAATTTTGATCTGAATATGCTAATAATTATGTTACAAAATGCGTGCGACTCGTAATTTTTAATTTTGTGTACAATTTTTAATTGTTATGATACTGAAGAAGACCTAATAGAGGCAAAAACTTTTGTGTTTATATCTTTCTTATAATATGTTTTGCAGGTACATCTTGCTTTGACTCTTTGCTACTCCTCATTTTCAAAGTTTGATATTATCATCAGAGTCTACATAATTAAATTTTAAATAAATAAGATATAAGATAAATATCAAAGGAGGAAAAGTCAATCAATTAAAAATAAAGTATGATAAACTCGCTCCAAACTTTTTCACTGCCGGATTGATTTACTTTAAATTAGGTTGAAATTTATTGAATTGATGTAGATAATATTAACTTCTTTGTTTATTCCATTCTAATTATAAAGAAATATAAAAAAAATACACTTATGTTACTAAAATACACACCAATTGATAAAAATAATGTCACAATACGGCACAGTTCTTGAAATTATATAATAATATAATTATTTTCACGATTTTCGTGTATGCAATAATAACTGTCAAAAATTTTGCAATGACTGTTATTCACGACCAGTGATGCCATTTCGAGCTCCGAGCACCATCACGCAATGATGTGCACTCGGAGCGCACACGGACGCGTAACGTGGCGGTTCTCGCTTGTGTACGTGATGTTACTTGGAGCTCGAAATGCCATCACTGCTCACGACTCACGTCATGAACTGAACGCAACAAATAAACCAATAAAATCAATATAACACCAAATTTTTATATAACTGTTTTAGCATAACCAGAAAATAATAAAGTAATGTAACAGTTTTAAAACACAGTTATATTGTGCCTACAAAAAAAGTTATAGAATTTTAACGTAAATAAAGTTATATTTTGTGTTTACTGGTTACAATTATATTCAATGTTTGTTCATGTTTCAAACAAAGTTTTAAAATAAATTTCAAAAATTTATTATTTTAAATATAATATATAAGAGATATATAGAAAACCGTCGCAGGTTGTTGGAGCAAAAATTTGACACATAAAAATTTATTTGTCTACATAGAGACATATTAAATGTACACCGATCTCAGATCGAGATACTTAGAGTGTACGAAAATTAAGTACATTGATCTCATTTTTCGAGAGTCAAAATGTACGAATTAAAGGAAATTATTTAATTAAAGGAATTAAAGGAAAGAAGAAAGAACGAAAAAAAAAATAGGGCGCGAATGGCTAATTATTTTAAGTTATTAAAAAAATTATTATTTTGAGATAGCGTAAATAAAACTGCAAAAACATATTTTTTAGAATAGTATTAGAATAGCATATGGCAAAAATTGTCGATTTTGGAATATTTTTTCTTTGATTGCTTCAAAATATTTATGTAATACGCACTTTTAGGATTGAATTCAAATTTAGCACATAAAAAACTACAAAAAAGAATTTTTCTATTTCAAACTTATGTGATGTTATTTATATTTGTAGGTTATAAAAGGACTCAAGTATAATCAAGCCGTGGATTGGTGGTCGTACGGTGTTTTGTTGTACGAAATGCTAACTGGTCAATCACCATTTTCCGGATGCGACGAGGATGAATTGTTTTGGAGTATTTGCAACGAACGGCCATTCATACCTAGGTATTTGAGTCAAGAAGCTAGCGATATTCTGATCTGCTTGTTGGAGAAAGATTCTGGAAAAAGACCGCCTGGTCACGAGATCGCTATGCATGCTTTCTTTCAGGTATTTCACGATAACATTTAAGACGGAAATATGTTCTGTGCAATTTGACGATTAAATACCTATTTTCTACAGCATTTGCCTTGGGATCGATTAGAAAGGAGACAATTGGAACCGCCTTTTAAACCAGCGCTTGATCATACTTTGGATACGAAATACTTCGACACGGCATTCACGACCGAACGTCCGCGACTCACGCCGGTGCCTGAGCAAATCCTGATTTCGATGGACCAAGGTGTCTTTCGTGGATTTTCATACACAAATCCAAACGCGACAGATTAATATGTGGCAACGTTAAGCAGGAACATATGATGTTAAAACCAATGATATTCATTATTTTTTTCCTTGCTGATTGTCTTGTGACGTGAAATAACGAGAAAGAGGAGATCTCATATTTTTGTTAATTCTCATAAATTCGATGAGAGATTCTCGGTTTATGCGTTCCGAAGAGTGACGCAATATATAAATGTATCACATTTTAAAGATACATATTTGTACGAATGATGCAAACTGTGAAAAAAGAATTGTGCTTAAAAGGCACAAAGTAACGATTTTAAAGATACATATTAATATTAATATAATATATACTTAAGTCCGCTTTAGAAGATCATCTATAATTTGTGGCAAAATTCGAGATATTAAAATCTGTTTATAATTTTATGCAATAGAAAGCAGATAAAGATTTGGAATACATGCATACAAAATGCATACCACTGATACAGATTTTGGGCATGTAAATATTCTAATGTTTCAAATGTTTTAAAATTTTATCTTGCATTATGTCACGAATTAAAAATCGTTATAACTGAATTTTATCGATAAGAAAGTTAAGAAATAAAACAATTATTTACGAATTATCTAATATTTAATATTATTTATGTGTACATACATATATATTAATTATACCAATTACATAAGAAATATAATATATACTGCTGACTTTATAAAATACAAATAATTATACAAGATATCACAAAATTTGCGAATTTAAATAATATGGAAGTTCAAAAAATTCAATAACAAAAGTCTTTGCGATTTTTTATTTTGAAAAATAGTTTTTAAAATATAAATCTATTTCAAATAAAAGAATTACAAAGATTTTTGTAATCTAGTTTAAGAAGTTTTGAATATTTTGATTCGTGAATTTTGAGGAACTCTGTATACCAATGTATGTATATAGAAATAGATTCATGCGTCTACACACACACACACATACGCGCGCGCGCATATATATACATAAATAATCATATAACTTTAATAAACTTATATTAAATAGTTTCTGAATAATTGTTTTGTTTCTTAACTTACATCGGACTATACACATATACGAAAAATTGCGTAATAATGCAAATCACAGATGGCTAAGGTAACATAAGAAATTGGACGTCTATTTAATTAATGTTCCTCAAACTATGCACGGAAAGAACACTTTTGCTGAAAGATCTAAAAATTGTGCCAGATACAGATCTGAAAATAAATTTTGTTGAACAATCAAAATTTATCAATAAAGCACTTGATCTTTTTCATATCGCAGAAAAAGACATCCATCAACCAAGATCGAGTGCTTTATTGATAAATTTTGAATATCCAACAAAATTTATTTTCAGATCTGTATCTGGCACAATTTCTAAATCTTTCAGCAAAAGTGTTCTTTCCGTGTGTTTATTCGTGCGCACGGATTATAAACATAAGTAAGAATACATAGATTTTTATATTGTAGGCATTGAGAGAAAAATAGAAATGATAAAACAAATAACTGTGCATGTAGTTGACGATATTTATTTAGTTCAACGAGTTCTTGTAGTCGCAATCAAATTGCTCACCATCGGTCGAATAATGTACGCTATAATTTTTTAAAGCTTGAAAGATTCCATATCATCAAAAAAATTATGGTATCAGCAATATAAATAATAATTAATTAGAACACAATATTGAAACAGAAATAAATTAGAAGTGTTTTGAACATATATGTGTTCAAGTAAGTTTAAGCAAAACTTCGATAGAGACACGTAAGTAAGATAAAACTTTTTTATTTTTACGAGAGTTTGTCTTTCTGTATTTTGTCTTTGGGTTTTCATTAAATTTGACATAATATATTTAAGATAAATCCCGTGCAGAGAGTATATAAATAAATGCGTAAATAAATGCAGAGAATTTAATTGATACGGCATGTATGGTAAACGCACTTAAGTGCAAATAAGTTTAAGAATGTTTACACATTACAATATTGGCTAAAAATAAATTTTAATTGTGTAAAGAGTTACAATATTGCAAATTAATATTGTCAATTTTAATGCTTTTATTAAAAAAAAGTTACTTTTAGATAATATTTGTTTTTTAATTAATAATAAAGAAAGAGAGAAAATTTTTGGACGTGAATACTCTTTGAAATTAATTGCAAAAAACAAAATAACAAACAAATGCCGAATTATGAATGTCATAAGAAGTTGCGTAATACAATAATTAAGTTTTTGCTATTGTAGATAAATAACTTTCAAATTAATGATTCAAATAAAAATTTACATAAACATTTATTCGAATTTTGTTAATATCAAGAGACATGATAGATTTAATCTGGCAACGTTTCTTTTTGTCAAAATTATCAAATACTGCAATATACAATTTTTTATAAAAATTAATTTAAACACAAAAATTAATCAAAAAGTTGTACTTAAGTTTTACACAGATATTAAACACAAATAATAAAACAATCTACATATTAATGTGTGGAATATTGGTGTTCAAGGCCAATGCTTGATTTTGGTAAGCTCTCTTCTTTTTTTCACTTTGTTGATTTATTAACACAAACGTTTCGGTCACCGTTGCTATCTTCTTGATTGATGTTCTATGACAATCTATTAAAGTTTTACAATTTTGTCAATGTTTTCACATTCTCTATATCCTTAAATTCGTCATCGTTATGTAGTTAATATAGTATTACGTAGTGCATAGCGCCTGATTCAGCGGAATTATTGATTATTGTCGTTATTAATTATTTTGCACGTTGTGAAAGATAATACTGTAATGCATCGCCAAAAGGGTAAACAAAAAACATGTTAATATATTTTCATCCCGATATAAATTTTGGCAATGCGATAAATTATCCACGCTCGCGTACGGATATTTAACTTTCTCGGTTTCACGTTACTGCGTGTAGGGTTATTAATATATGAAGTGCTTTATTATTTTGGCCAACGATAGAGCCTCGAGTGTTTTTATCAGACAGACACTTGCTTCCATTTAAATTTTGCGTTATCGATTTAAAGCTGTTTTGTATTATTTTTTATTTGCTGAAGAGTCAAAATTTTGCTTTTGCTTTTGATTTCAATTTGCCTTTAGATTTTTCGATTAATTTTCTATTTGCAGATTCTAAAGGATCGTAATAGATTTAATTTATATGAGAATTAAGCTTTCTTTTGCCTTTTCAAAATAATAGTAAATAAATAATTTCCTATTTAGAAAAAAAAGGAGCGTTTAGCAAATCCGAGTAGAATTTAGTGATTTTAGATTTAGAAACTGTAGATTAAATAAAATAAAAAAAGATTGTTTTGAGTATTTATTGCATTAAAATAAATATTAAAATTGAAACATTTAAAAGTTTAAATTGAAAGCAGGAGAAAAATTTTGACTCGGATGTTCTTTCGATTAATATTCCTTTTATCTTTCCTATGTATGAAACTTAGTTTTTGTTTTCTATTTATTACTTTTCTAACATTTATTTCAACTTCTCTTTTTTCTTTTCCTTGTCTCTTATCGTTTTCATGAATCTCTTTTAATGCATTGCAATTTGTATTTCTTTTTAGAGTTTTTTCTTTTAATCCTGCAATCTTCTTTTTTCGATTTATCATCCAATTTTTCTTTCTTATAATTACATTTTTTTACAAACTTTTTCTCGCTTTTTCACTTTTTTTGCAATTTGTTTTTTCTTATTTCTCTAGATCTTGCGTTCTTAGTCGCGTACATTTGGTTCGGTGCTCGCCGCAGCTAACTTTAGAATGTCGAGGAATTGGCAAGCCGCACACTCGACAGAGCATTCGCCAAGATGAAAGTGATGGGCTATCGTAAGATCTTTATGGGGTCACCGCATGGTGATCTCCAGTGGCTCCTCTTTGCATAAATATCGCGCGTGAAGAAAAGTATAAGAAATAATAACAAGTAAGTGAATTAATAGATATTTTGAACGAAAAATATGATTTAATGTTAAAAAAAAATGTCCATATTAACAATAAAAATGTACATATTTTGTAGAGAAAAAAATTGAATTAAAATTATTGAAATAATCTAAATTAAGATTTCATGTATTTGTTGCTAAGAAATTAATATAGTTAAACTGAAAGAATAATAAAGTCTAACTAAAGTATTAGTATTATATGAGAACAAAGACTCTTTGAAAGCGTAAGTGACTGTGCAATTTCCATGAATCGTCATTGCAGAATATGGGAGAGAGGATATAAGAAGCGAAACAGAAAAGAGCAAGATGAGAAAGACGAAGAACAAGACGAGAGCAAGACGAGAAGAAAAATCAACGTTAAAGAGCGAGAAATTAAGATTAGAGATATATAAGAGAAAGAGCAAAAAGCAGCGGATTAAGAGAATCGGTCAACGCTCTTTGAATCTATGAATGGTCTGCTTTGTTAAACGATGATATTATGTTCCAGACAAACATTTCCATATGAATTTTGTAGAAATCTGTTGTCATATTTATTTCTTTCAAATAACGCGCTAAAGGAATGGTTACTTCTGATTGCGTATTAACAAATTAAAATTGTAACCAATGTAATCAAAATTTAATTGGTTATATACTATTGAAATAATGCTATATTTAATTTGATTAGAGAAGTATTATATAAAATAAAAAATATATTATTTTATAAAATTTTAACAATTTTTAGCTGATACTGTATGTCTAATCAATATACCTTTAACTTTTATGATATTCAAATGTGGGCGTTTTAGACGAACGCAGCTAACTCTAAGATATAATGAGAAACGTAGTCCTATTTGATCGTCCTATTAGATGTTACGATAACCACGGGGCGCCTGCAGGGCCGCACGGCATTCTTCCAAAAGCAAAGGTACAAGTGTCGATTGTATAAATAGATTCCCCCGTCTGCGCAATGATGCGGCCCTATATTGGAGGAGTTATTTTTGAGATCCATCCAGCGAGAGTTGTTACAGTTCTGTGCTCAGTTTTAAGGAGTTTCACTCGCAGCGAGAGCGCGGTTTCGTCGCGAACACTCTGCGTCGCGGATAATCGAACAAAGACATCAAGACGATTTGTTTATTGCGCGAGCAAAAATATCATCGATTATGCCACGATCGATTATGTTCTGACCTTTCGCGTACGTGAATTATTCTTTTATTTCTGCCAGTGAAAAGATTTATTTCTTCTAATCAAGTTAGTGCTTCAAGAGAAACATATATTTTCGGTTTTTACATGTGTGATAGTTTTAATGAATTTGTTTTTAAATATTAAGATGAGTAGAAACGCACACTGTATAAGTATTTTCCTTCTTAAATAACACTGCTCTGCATGGATATCTGCTGTTGTTTGGGAAATAGAAGGAGGTTTTCGTCGTTTTTTATATGCTGAGAATCCGGTTTTAAAAAGTACGTACCAAAGCTTTGAGAACATCATAGAGAAATATGCCAAATAGCGATTTTTGTGATATTTACAAAAATACTATTCCAAAAAATATTTTTATTTAGTTTTATTTGTACTATATTAAAATATTTTTGTTAAAAAATTTTTTAAAATAATTTTTTGAAGCCAGTTTATTTATATTTATACTCAACGATTAAAAAAATAATTTTTAATATACATTTTTTTGAATGAATAGTTTTCTTATTTTGTTATTTTATGCTTATCCTATATATGTATATAAAATTTTCAGACTGTACTTATCGTGAGCTTACTAATAATAAGATAGACCGTTTAGCTGTACACTGAAAAAATAAATGACTGTAGTAATTATCACTATATTATAATTTATAATGTTTTTCGGCGCCAAATCACATATTTTTATAGATATTCTAATTATGCAAATTATAGCTAATTCAACACTGCTATTATAATCATTATATTAATTTATACAACTAAATATATTGGTTGTTATACTCCGAAATAAAATTTTTTAGATAGTAAAATGTATTATTTTACTATATTTTTATTTTAAATTATTATAACTTATTTATAGTAAAACTTTTATATTAATTATATGGTTGTTAGCACTATATGTATATAAGATTATTATTGCTAACATTATAGTAGCAGTTTTTATAAAAATAAATATCCTGTTTATAATTATTTTACTATGCAATTATAGTTCCAAATATCAGAAGAGAAATACTTTTCTCTCAAGATATGAATGATATTAATTCTACTTAAAATGTATCACCTGGGAGTAGTTTACATTAAATTTCTTTTTTTATTTTATTATATTTCTTTATTTTGAAGGAAAAAATTAATATTTAAAGATTTTAAAGGACAAAATTAGTATATAAAGATGGCATAATAATTATAAAAGAAAAGAATAAATTTTTTTTTTAAATAGCATAGCCAAAATGTTACATTGTTTTTGGCATATTTTTCTCTGATTTTTTAAAAATTCCTATATGATATGCATTTTTTGAGGATTTAACGCATAAAAAATTATGGAAAAATACTTTTCTGTTCCAGATAAAGAAAAATGTTTAACTTTGCAATGTAATTAGTTTTAATTCAGATAATATTGTTGACGGATTGTTGTTTAATCCGTTTGACGATATATGGTATATGTACATTATGTACAGAATAATATAAAGTGTTGATGTATTGGTGTTAGTATAATTTGCTAAAGATGCACGATTGCATCAAAAGCGAGTAATATTCTGAAATTTTCGAATAAACTGCAACTGATTTATGAATAATTAATTGCTCTTTGTCCGAAAGTTAGAAAGACAAGAAATTCTCAGAAAAATCAGCAAGCAGAATTATCATCATCAAAAGATTATTTCTCTCTTGGAGAGTATCAATATCAATTTCTTTTATAATAATTAAAGCAAAATACATGAAATTGCGGTTTCGCGAATCAAGATTATAGGTCGACAAGGATGTTTAGCTCATTGAGGCTGGCGACTATGCGCTCGCACAAGAGCCGTGCCAGGCCAGGAAGCATCGCCACTTCTGCGAGTTCCGACTCCACTAGAGTGGAAGAAGCAACCGTACAAGTACAGTACCATCCGCACAGCTTTCTATTGTTGGATGATCAAGAGACGACGAACATTATCAGTTCGTCGTCACCTTCCAGCGTCTCGTCAAAGGTGGCACAGGTACGAGTGGAGCGAGAGGATGGCAGTCTCGGTGTGACTCTTCGCGGAGGGGTATCGCGAGCTTTAGTAGTGACAGGGGTGAAAGCGGACGGTCCGGCTGCCAAAGAAGGAAGAATTAGACCCGGTGATCGATTGCTAGCGGTGGATGATACTGAGCTGCGAGGACTCACTTTAGCAGAGGCGCAGCGAGCGCTCAGAAGGAGCTCGGATGCACCTGTCGCATCTCTCACGATCGAGTACGACGTCGCAAACATGGAGGAAGCGCGGGCGGCTAATTCTGGTCCGCTGCTCGTACAATTGGAACGCGGTCTCTCGGGTATTATCGTTTCTTCTTTCCTGAATCAAAATTTTTTTCTATTTTTGATCTAAATTTTTAAGTGTTTTAACTTTAACGCTTATATTAATCAATAACAATTATATAAGAGCAAAAGAACCAAAGCAAGATTACAACGTAAAGACTGTAAAGACGCTGAAAATGATCTGACATAGATTGAAATGTTTGTCATATTTATACTTATACAGAGTGTCTTAGAATGATGAGACGCCGCTGATTCATTTAGATCGTACAGTCAACGGTTTAGCTGCACGCAACGCGCTATCATTCAATCCTTTTTAATTAATATCTCACTTATTATTGCAATAATTGCAAAACAATAAAGGACCTTTCTGTTCAGTTTACCGCACTCTACCTATACACGAGCGGTTGTCTCATCATTCTGAGACACCCTGTATAACTCTTGAAATGCATAAAAATGGTATACAAAAATCTTGCTTTGGCATTTTTGCTCCTATATAACTATTATTGCTTGTGATAATCACACAGAAAAAAGCTTATTAAAAAAGCTTATATTAATATGTATTTTGAATCTTAAAATAACTTTTTTCGATTACTAGAAAATGGATTATAAATGTCTATATAAAGATGAGTTATATCTTAAAATATTGACTAAATCGTAGAATTTCATAGTCTATTGTCTTATTTATTTAACAAATTTAGATAAAACCTAGATTTGTCTAATTATCTTGAAAGTTTTTTAATTTATGTTTAATTATATTGATTTTTACAAAAAAATGCATATTGTAGCATTTATTGACAAAAAACAGGTTGCAAAAAGGTCACCCATAGAAATTTTATTTTTTATGGGTAATGACCCTCCATTTTTTTAGACTCTTTCAACAGAGATCAAAAGTTCAATCTGTGAGTTCAACCCAAAAGTTCAACCCAAAAGTTCAACCCAAATTGTCAACGTTTTTTTATAATTTTTAAAAATAATTTTTTTTATATTTATATATTGATTCCTTATTTCATGCTTGGTCATTTTCCTAGTTGAGTCTACGTCTAGCGCGACAGTCTATGACTTTCTGCAAAAGAGCGTTGGGAGGCTCTATCATGAAGATGAAATAATTATGAAATAATTCACGCGACGTTTGGAAAAGGTACAAGAGTAGAAGTTAACGATACAATCAATATATGCCCAAGATGCAACATGCAGCGAATAAACATCAAGCGAACATGAGCAAGCAATAATAGAGTCTCCCAACGTTCTTTTGCAGAAAGTTATGGACTGGCAATCGCGCTAAATTCAATCGAGGAAGAAGCCCAAGAATGAAATAAGAAATCAATGTATAAACGTAAAAAAAAATATTAAAAAAAAGGTTAACAATTTGGTTCACAGGTAGAACTTTTAAACTTTATCAAACGAGCCCCCCTCAAAAAAAAACAAAAAAAAACGAGAGGTCACAATCTATAAAAAATAAAATTTCCATGGGTGACTCTTTGCAACGTGTTCTTTGGCAAAAAATTTTTTTGTACATTAACAATAAGTAAAAAATATTCTAAAAAATATTCTTGCAAAACTTGATTAGAATTTATCTATTGGTTCAAAAGTTATTCTGCCTAAGACTGCAGCATAATGTAATAGTCATTATATAATAGATATTATGTAACTTATTTGCGTAATTACGCTTATAGACCGCGATTCTACAATTTTGTTATTTTGTTGCTTATATTTAATTTTTTTCTCTTTCCTTTTTATTTCTTTAGCCTTCATTATTTATTTAATGTTTCAATATAAAATAAAAAATATATTGTGTCTAAATTTTAACGAATATTATATTAGTCAACATATATTTCCTTAAGTTTCTACTTAAACCAAATTCTACTTAAGTTTTTTAAAAGTTTCTGCTTTCAATTTTTTAAATAGAAAATAATTCATTTACTTGAAGTGTAAAGTAAAAGCTTATTTCTCGTATAAAATAACTTATTACAATTTTTAGAATCTATAAATAAGAAAAAAGATGGAGAGTAACAGCGTAAAATTTGAATTTAAGTAAGACGTGGATGTTCTCTTTTATCTTTATAATAGTTGCGAAATCTAAAATTATTAATTCGTAAGTGTATGTGATATAGAATTGCGCATAACGCCATATCAATTTATTTAGTATTTTATTAGATGACTCGGTTTTGCTTTGTTCTTTTGTTTTATTAATCGATTCAAACTGCTTTAGATTTTCTATATAAATGTTTTTATGTTCAAAATTAACGGTGAGATTAGTAAATTTTTGATGATAAAAAAGATTTTTACTTATAATTTAGATTATTAGAGAAAAAATAATAATACTAAACTCTCAAGTTGTTTTTGTGTTTTATAAGTGCGTGCGTGAGTGCGTGCGTGTGTGGTGTGCGTTCCTAACTAAAAGTTGAAAATAAAAAATTATATCTATTACTCTACATATGTGTTATATAATAGAAACTGCTTATATATCTGATATCTGATACAAAAGTTATTCGATAAATAAATAGATAAATTGTTATTACTTAAAAACTATCTAAACAATAAATAATAATAACAAATAGTAAATAATAATAAGTTAAAATAATAATTTTACAACAACCATTTGGTTTTACCAATATAATAATAATGATATAATAATAATTAATGTAACTTTTATTTCATTTAGAACAATAATAAGACTATGTGACAAATGCACGTTGTAGGACTGCGTGATTAAATGATTAAATTTTTTATGATGAAACTGACTGACAATGAGATCTATTAAAAACTATCCAAAAAATATATTGTTCATCAATGACATTTGTTTTTTTATTTGCAAATTGATTAATCTATTTATACATAAATACACTAGGCAAGAAAATTATCTCAACAGTAAATTTATATCAAAATTTCGCATAACTTTAAATAATCGTAACTCCGTCAAAAATTGTCATATGTGAAAAATTTTTGTTTTATTTTGAAGCTTAAAGTCTCCACTTTAAAAAGCATTTGTCAAATTTTGAATTTATTCTTTCCCCCTTCTACTGTCTTTTCAAAAGTAAAGACGTGTTACGTCTCCAAAAAATTGCATAGTTTGACGTACTCCACGAGATGGAATAAATTTTTTTCGCAAATGTCACTATCACCATCGTAAAATTTGGACTTTTCCTTGCAAATTAAAAAAAAGAGGTTTATACGATTTTTTTTGCGGAGTTATGGCGTATTAAAGTAACCTATGCATTTTTGTTCAGTTACCGCCAGCATTAGCATTAGGGAGGTTGCTGGTCGGACTTTACGCATTGCGCGCGCGCGCGCGCGTG